AGATCACAGTTCAGAGAACAGCACTAAACAGTCCACTTGGGCTTGAAGTCCAGTTGCACATCCCAGAAGCTGTTTGTCCAGCGTTAAGTGAACCAGGTTTGAAGACATTCTCTTTAGTTCTCAGATAGCAGGTTGATGCAGATGGATATCTAAGTCTACCCATTATTCTGTGGAACAGGGTTGCGCGCTCTTCTGCGCTTTCTAACTGGAATGTATTTATGTCTAAACCGAGGAGATGTGGATCCAAAATCTCAGCAGGTCTTAAAGTTCATATTCCCTGTGGATCTTTATAAAAGTTTGATAGGAATTTTTTTCTCACTCTTTAATGGTATGCCTCCAGCAGTCTGCTGAAGCAGCTGGACGTTCTCTTGTCTCCGTTCTTGTGGACCATGTATTTCTTTGCATCAAAGATGCTGGTTAGTTTCTGATATGCTTAAATTGTAAAAATCCTTCACTTGGCTGGGATCAGAATTTGATTCACCTCATGTTAGCTAATAGTGCTGTTCTGCATGGAACCATTACTCTTGTTTCTTGGGTTTAACTTTTACCATTTTTTTCATGGCATTTCAGAATTCCAACTGGAACTACTGATGCAATCACTCCTCTTTTCTCGAGTATGTTCTCACAGTTTCTTAGAGTCTTATCTATTAACTTGCATGATATTATTTCCTCCATTCACATTATGCATTTAGTGCACTTGGTTGTCTTCAATATATCTCTTCCCAGTTATATAATATGTTATGCTCACTAGTAATAGAAATTCTCTCATAGGATTCAGTATTACGCTGAGCATCTTAATGAATTATATCTTGTTATATGGCTCTGAAATCTGACAGCTGTAGGCATATATACTTGCAGGCCTGTGTTTCGGATGGAGAATCAGCTAACTATTTAACTAAGATTTTGATTGGTGGGCTATTTTTAAGGTGAGTATGCTATGTCAGACTAAAATACCTGATTAGAGTGATCTGTCTATAGCTTTCTTTAAAGTTTACTCTGCTCCCTGTCATCATATTAATTATCTCGTCTCAATTTTACTGGGCTGATCTCTGAGCAGTTTGTAAATTACTGTTGAAGATATTCAGGGCGTTATGATTTTTCTTAGTTGCAACTTACCCTTCGACAGTTCGACATACTCAAGATTTGCCTTTCTGATGGCTCTTTTTAGACTTTAGCCTATTACCTTTTGTTACCAGTGTTTAGAGGACGCAGAAGCCAAAAACTCGCTTGATAGTGTATGCCATTCAATATACATATTTGTGGAGAACTTTAAATAATTTCCGTTCTTATGGAGTGGTCTTCCGTTTTTCATTTCCTTGTTTCACATGCATTTGCTTGCTAGGTGAACTATTGCTTTTCGTGTATAGTATTGATATAATTTTCTTGTGCATGTGTTGATTCACGACTTTGGATCTAAAGTTCTTGCATTCGTACTCATGGTTGTAATTCAGGGATGCTTTTTCACGCTCTCCTTGTGCTCTTGTCCAACCATCTATGAAAGCTGTTGCAGAGGACCTTGCAATTCCTGATTTTGGTAATAATAATTCCGGACCGTATCTACAACCATTATTATTTCGTGATTATCCTGTCAGTTTTTTTTGAACTTATTCATGCTGATTTATTCTACTTCCATATGTTTGGAACAGCCAAGAATTTTTGCCCTCTCATATATCCATTAGACAGCGGGCCGTGGCAATTAATTCAGGATGTTCCCTTGATCTCCTTACACTCTCTTCAGGTCAAGCCATCCCCTAAACCCCCACACTTCTTCTCGAAAACGGTCATCCAGTGCCAACCACTCATGGTATGTTTGTGTATATCAAGACAAATCAATTTGTTCTCTCTTTTTAACGAAGTTTCACCATTTTCTTCTTATATCCTTTCTCAGGTACATCTGCAGGAAGAAGCTTGTTTAAGGATTTCTTCTTTCCTGGCTGATGGCATTGTTGTGAATCCTGGTGATGTTTTGCCTGATTACACAGTTAATTCTCTTCTTTTCACCCTCAAGGAATTAGATGTTTCTGTTCCATTAGACATGAGTAACTTGGAAGATTCAGCAAGCAAAGAAGACCTTCCACCAAAAAAGGTCTTCGCTGGAGCGAGGCTTCATATTGAGAACTTATCTTTTGCGGAGTCACCTACGCTAAAAGTTCGGCTACTAAACCTGGAGAAGGATCCTGCTTGCTTCTGTCTATGGCCGGGACAGCCTATTGACGCCAGCCAAAAGAAATGGACAGCTGGAGCTTCACATCTTAGTTTGGCTTTGGAAACATCCCCCAACTCAACTGAACTTCAGGGCTCTCCTGGTCTGGAAATGGGTTTGTGGAATTGTGTTGAAGCAAAAGATCTGTCTGTAGAAGTTGCTATGGTATCTGCGGATGGAAAACCACTGATAACAATTCCTCCTCCTGGTGGCATTGTTCGCATAGGAGTTGCTTGTGAGCAATATATTTCGCGTGCTTCAGTGGAGCAGTTATTTTTTGTTCTTGACCTCTATTCTTACTTTGGTAAGGTCAGTGAAAAGATTTCGATTGTTAAAGAAAGCAAACGTCAGAATACTGTCTCTTTAACTGGAGGGTTGTTGGAGAAGGTTCCTAGTGATACTGCTGTAAAACTGGTTTTGAAGGATCTGCAGCTTAAGTTTCTTGAGTCTTCCTTTACTAGTACTCAGGACATGCCACTTGTTCAGTTTCTTGGCAAAGATCTTTGCGTGAAAGTAACTCATAGAACCCTCGGCGGCGCTGTTGCAGTATCCTCCAACATATACTGGGAAAATATTGAGGTTGATTGTGTAGATACCGACATACAACTTGAACATGAGAATATCTTGAATGGTCACTTAGTTAGCTGTAATGGGTCTACCCCACTGAGACGTGTCTTTTGGGTTGTCAACGGAAGACATGATGGGCATAGTGGCAGCACTCTTGTGACACCTTTTCTTGACATAAGCATAACACATGTCATTCCCCTCAGTGAAAAGGATATGGAGTGCCACAGTTTAAGCATCGTGGCTTGTATTTCAGGCGTACGTCTAGGAGGAGGAATGAGCTACACTGAAGCTCTGTTACACCGATTTGGAATTCTGAATCATGATGGTGGTCCAGGAGAGGGCCTGACTAGAGGATTAGAGCATTTATCTTCTGGACCTTTGTCAAAACTTTTCAAAGCATCTATAGTTGATGACAGGAATCAAGGTATTTAAAAAAACATCTTGGTTGTTTCCGTTTGTTATCGTCCATGTGAAAGTCTCCTATGTGCAGGTTGTTCTTGTTTACAGCTTCAAGTTTTACTAATCGTTGCTAATATATGCATCCGCATGGAACTCCAGGAAATTTGAATGGAGATGGTTTCCCACATTTGGGAAGGCCAGATGACATTGATGTCTCCTTTGAGTTAAGAGACTGGTTGTTTGCTTTGGAGGGCAGAGAAGGTGTGGCAGAAAGGTGGTCTTCTAATGACAATGAAGATATTGGAAGAGAAGAAAAGTGTTGGCACACGAATTTCCGTACTTTCCGAGTAATAGCCAAAAGTACACCGAAGCATGTGGATCTAACAAATGGGACCGAAAACCACTATGACGCTCACAAGTTTCCTGTGGACTCAATTATTGTAAGTCTCTGTTCACCTTATTTTTCCAATACTCAATTTGTTTCCTGAACTTTCTGAGGTTAATGATAACCAAATCACTTTGAAGAGAGTTTGGTCGTCTTCGAAAAACCATATGTATCTCTCAGAGCTGCCTTTTTTTATTCTACTGTCTTACAAAATTACATTCTTGGATGCCATAAAGACTGTGGACCTTAACGTGTTACTGAGCCTTTTTATATTTTATTTGCGGAATGCCTTATAGGTCAGTGTTGAAGGCCTTCAGACATTGAAGCCTCAAATGCAGAAAGAGACCAATTCAGGTATTGGTTTGGCTACAAATGGAATTCACGAAAACGGTCACCTGCCTGGAGGGGTAAATATTGAAGCTAACATTGTGGCATCTGACAACAAATCTGTTCATGATAACTCATTGAACTGGGTGGCAGAAAGTCTGAAATTCTCTGTTAAGCAACCTGTAAGTGAAGCTGAGCTCATTGCTCATTGCTCTCGTCCTTTTAGAAAAGTAGTTTTTGTAATATGGATGGTTTGCCCGTTTTGTTCTTTGTGGTGCAGGTTGAGGCAATTGTTACAAAGGATGAGTTGCAACATCTGACATTCTTGTGCAAATCCGAAGTTGACGCAATGGGAAGGATAGTCGCAGGAGTTCTACGGGTTCTGAAGCTCGAAGAATCTGTTGGCCAGGCGGCTCTAAATCAACTTAGCAACCTTGGTAAGCTAGTCTCATACTTCTTTGCTTCTATGTAAGAGAATAGATTTGACTTTCTCCAGTTCTTGAAGAATCAAACAATGTTGCAGGAAGTGAAGGTTTTGACAAGATGTTCTCGCCAAAGGCGAGCAAAGCAGACAGTACCAAAAGCTCACCTTTTGCTGCATCATCAGATTCAATGAGAGAAATTTCTTCACGTACAAACCTGGAATCTACCATTTCTTCCATTGAAGAAGCATCAATGGAGTTAGATAGCAAGTGTTCAGCACTAGTTTCCGATCTCAGCGATTCAGAATCTTCGGTAAAACACATCAACGACCTCAAGCAGAAACTCGAGAGCTTGCAGAGCTTAATGGCTAAATTACGAACCCAAATCTAAAAAAATTATACTCCCAAATATCAGGCAGGAAGAAGAAATGAAGCATGAAGCTAATTCTTTTATGTATATAGCATATATAGAGATGTGAGAATCACTACTTGAATCGGAATTTTTTGTATCCTAAATACACCGAGAAACGAATTTTGTGTATGCATATGAGCAATGCTTGTCTTTGCAATTGCCCAAAAGAAACTTTCTTTTTGGATAAAATTTTGATAGATTTTCCGGAAAAGCTCTGGTTTTTTTTTATAACGTTCTTCATCGTTGATTAAAGAGATCGCTTTTCTGTCTCTCAGTTTGTAGATAATGGTGGCTGCTTATGGGGAGAATCTGGTTGTTTTGAAACCATACTTATTAAGCCCTTCTTTGTTGATCAAAGCTCTCAAATTATGCAGCTACGAAAACGTCGAGAAACAAGTTTTGTTGATCCATGGGAATTCTGTGACAAATGGGTTCGGCTCCAATCTCCAGTTGAGCAACGGTTTGATGAACTCGTATGCGAAACAGGCAGATGTGAAACACGCACGTAAGGTGTTTGATAGAATGCCTAAAAGAAATGTGGTTTCTTGGAATATAATGATCGATGGATACACCAGCAAGTATTGTGGAGTTACTTCGTTTCGTTTGTTTCATGTGATGCTTGCGGAAGGTAATCCACTCTTTCCTATTTCTTCCTTGACTCATTTTGGTTAGTGAGCTTCTTGTGCTTTGTGTATCAGGGAAGAAGCCAGACTGCTATACCTTTGGCAGCCTTTTGAGAGCTTCTACTGAAGTTAAGTGTCTTGAAATGGTCAGTGAATTACACGGATTTGCTATCAAGCTTGGGTTCGGGGGATCAATTGCACTGATTAGGTCTCTGGTTGATGCATATTGGAAGTGTGGTAGCCTAGCCAATGCTAAGAAATTGCACAAGGGCTCCGTGAAAAGAGACTTGATCTCTTGCACTGCTCTAATTACAGGTTTTGCACAGCAGACCAATTGCACAAGCGAGGCCTTTGATATCTTCAAAGAGATGATACTGATGGAAGCAAAGATGGACGAAGTTATAGTATCTTCAATGCTTAAAATATGCACCAACATCTCATCGTTAGCCGTTGGAAGACAGATACATGGTTTTGCCTTAAAATCCTCCCAAATCAGATTCGATGTTGCTTTGCGTAACTCACTGATAGATATGTATGCAAAGTCCGGGGAAATCGAGGATGCTGTCCTTGCTTTCGGAGAGATGGAAGAGAAAGATGTAAGATCATGGACCTCTTTGATTGCAGGGTATGGGAAACATGGAGATATTGAGAAAGCAATTGATCTTTATAACAGAATGGAGCATGAAGGGATCAAACCGAATGACGTCACTTTTCTTTCCGTCCTCTCTGCTTGTAGCCACACAGGACAAACCGAACTAGGCTCGAAGTTTTTCAATTCAATGATCAACAAGCATGGAATCAAAGCTCGTGAAAAGCACTTATCTTGCATCATAGATATGCTTTCCCGTGGTGGCTACTTAGAAGAAGCTTATGAACTGATAAGAGGTCAAATGGGTATTATTAGTCTTAGCTCATCAACATGGGCAGCTTTTCTTGATGCCTGCAGGCGTCATGGAAACGTGCAGCTCAGCGAAGTAGCAGCTGCGCAGCTTCTGATTATGGAACCAAAGAAAGCGGTCAATTATATCAATTTGGCAAGTGTATATGCAGCTACTGGAGCATGGGACAATGCTTTGAAGACTCGAAAGCTTATGAAAGAGAGTGGTTCCTGCAATAAAGCTCCTGGATACAGCTCTGTGTATTGAACAAAAGTGAATAAGAAAAAAATTCATATAGGGTTTAAAGATACAATGTGGTACAAATGTTTTAACACCAAAATGAAGTTAGTGAGGCTATAAAAGGCATCTCAAGGTTCGAAGGAATAGCAGCAAACTTATCCAAATCGTAGCGTGATCAATATAGATTAGAGTTACAATAAAACAATGGATATCTTATTCCTCCAGGCTCCTAATTTATCAGTTCCTACAAGAGTCGGATTGCTACTTGGTAATCACGTCCCAACGCCATATTGTCCCGTCCTCGCAACAAGCAAGAATTGTGCTACAATCCCATGGAAAAAAAAACAGAGTATATCGGAATCCAATATTATGTGTTTTGTTTACACTAATTATTGAGTCAAAAAGCATGAAGGTTTCAAATACATTGGTGAGGGAGAAGAAGATGGATATACCTTCCATCAACGGACATGGCGGTTTGCCTGATCACAGACTTTGATTGAGTGTGTGATAACCTATTTGGCAACAGAGAATCATGTCAAGACTACAACAGAAACACAAAAGTGAAGCTTAATCATTTGATTAAAGATCAGACGACGTGTCTGAATCCAAAACTAACTTACTTTGTAATCAAAACAGGAGGGCAACTTTTTAAATCCCAGACATAAATCTTTCCTTCCTGATTCCCTGATAACCAACCAGCCAGGGATGTTTCACAAAATGGATAAGAAAAGTTGAAGTACATATAATGCAGATTTATTTGTATATCGTGAGCATTCTCGTACCTATTGCAACAGCATTGAAATGGAGATCACAAGAAAACTTGATAAACCATATATCACACATTGGAATCGGATATTTTTGTAGAACATCTGAAGTACCCTACAAACCCAAAAATAAAATCTCAATCTGTAAAATATGTGATAAAATGAATGATTGCTGTTACGTTTGGCACATGATAAAGAACCTAACCTCTCCAGGAGAATTCTCTTTCAGTTGTGGTTCCCACAACAGGATCTCGTTGTCCACACTCTAAAATCAGATAGAGCACACAAGAGTAAGTGCTTTAGTATTACACTTTTCAGTTTTTAGCTTATTCCACCAAATGAAATGATCTTATCCATCATTGACTAACTAACCTTTGAAAGAATAAAATCACCGAACCAACGGTTACAATCTACGTAGTTTGTATGAACTGAAGCTGTAAATACCTACACGTAAAAGTCATGTCATTAAGAAAGACCACCAATACGTATCAGTCACTCGTTGTTACAATGCAAGGACAAGGAAAATACTCACAGGGAATTGTACAAATTTGGTGGGGAATTTTGACGGATCATCCGTCCACGTGAATGACTTTTCGACATATGTCCAAAACTCTGGAGATAGCCAAAAAAAAAGATCATACAAACGAACCACAAGCCATTTTTCTCAAAAAAGTTTAAACAAATGGAAGTTCCTTTCAAGTGTGCTTGGTTTTTCTCTTACCTTTCATTGACCATATTTTAATAGTGGTGTCCATACCACAACTAGCAAAACGGTAAATATCAGAGGGATGAAAATCCTACAATTTCCAAGAGAAGATTATAATCCTTAACATGTCTCTATTAAGTGAAACTAACTGAATCAGATTATTGTTTTATTTCACATCCATTCTGATGAAGGGAATATAAAAACCATATTGGCTCACCACACTTAGAACTTCGTAGCGATGACCTCCAGCTCCAGCAAATATCAGAATACATATCCCAGTTTCAATATTCCACAGTCGAACAGATTCATCCTGATCGAAATAAAACGTAAGAACTCTTGAATTTCGACAAATAATTGAATGCCAGGACATTACAGAAAACAAAAAGCCAAGACATATACCTTGCTGGCAGTAATCACAAGTTGAGGTTTCAAAGGCTGTGTCCTGATTTCGTTCACTGAATCTCCGTGGCCCACGAGGCTCTGCACATGTGCGAGCACAGATTATACAAGAAAGAAACCGAATCATTTGCTAGTATACATAAAACATCCATAAATTCTTAATATCGTTCTAAAGCTTATAAAATGCAATAGTACCTTATGAATCATTTCATTGTCGACGTCAATGACTCTGATTATGCCTTTTACTCCTCCAGCCGCAACAAATGGTTTCCCGTTAACGCCACATGCCCAACTTACAGTGTAAAATGACTCCAGGTTCTGATCTCCAGAGCACATGGATATATAACCAAATGACCTCAATGAAACTTGACTTCTTTTACTTTTCACAAAGTTAGCAAATTTATATAAGCCTTACATCTTCATCAGAATAGGATTGCAATGCAGATATAGCACCATCTTCAAGACAATTGTACAAAGTAATCTACATAAAAAGAGGTAAAACAATGGCAGTAATGATATATTCATGACCCAGCTCAATAAAGGTTAAAAGAAAGAACCTCCCTCGTCAAAAAATTTACGGGAAACTCGAGAACATTGCTGACTAAACTCTCCCCACAAAATCACTCAACTGGCAATTCAAGTATATATTTACAATTGTTAAGAAACAAAATTCACATTGAGCAATCAAATGTGTAAGATTACGAATTA